TAAAGAATCTGGCCAAAAGCCAAAGAGATTAGGTTAAGAAAGTATTGCAATTTAGGATATGCACTGCAATGAGAAAAATGCTGTTTCGAAAAAAAGAAAAAAGAAGAAAGAAAAACTTTATACAATATGACATAGACATTAAAAAGATAAGTATATACAAATTAATTCACATTTGACATTTAAATAAAAAAATAATTATAAAGTACCACTTGATATTATAAAAATGATCATACATCTATGATTTTCGATTTTAGATGTGTCTTTGTAGCCTTTTGTGTGTTGATGAGGTCAGTAGGAGCACTAATCATGTTTAGCTTAACACATTTTATCTGGATTCACACGAGGGTAATAGGGTTTATGTAAAAATGATACTCCTTCCATTTATATTAATTATCCGTTTATAATATCTGTTCATGTAGCTCCATTTATGTGTAATTTTAGGTAAAATTTTTATAAAAATATATGAATAAATATTTTTTTATTTTGATATATAATTCTTGTTAAATAATTTTATTTAAAAAAATCACGGTGAATCACAACTACGAGAGGTTGGGAAAGAAGATGAAGATGATTGGAGGGAGGACCAGAAAGGGTGAGCATGAAAGAGAATGAGTAGAGAAATCCAATGACTATTACAAATATCTTGGTACTATTAACACCTTGGTCAACAAGTTATCCAGCAATTGCCTGCTCTCTGTGCTAATTTGGCTTGCTTCTCAAGGTGAATGGTAATAAGAAATTTGACAGTTGCTTCGCCATTGTTTTGTATCTTACGCTTGATCTATTAATTTTTTTTTTGTTTAAAATAAAAAAGTTAAATAATTAAAGTGTTTTTGAATTAGTTTGTATATATTTTAAAAATAATTTTTTTTAAAATAATTTTAAAAGTACACACCTTTATATTAATCAATTACATTTAAAGAAATTAATTTTATTAAATATTAATCTTAAAATTTTGACTTTAGATCAAATTTATGAGAAAACATTATTTATCAATGATAATTTTTTTTTTTTTGAAAATAGACAATGGACTAATGATAATTTGATAATTGAAGTTATTAAAAAGTATCTTCGCCTATTTATAGGTATAACATAAACATTAAGAAAAAAAAAAACGAAGAAAGAAATTAAATACCAAACAAAAAGAAACCACGCCTTTTGTCTTTCTCACCTCTTTCCAATTTAAAAAATGGAGAATAAAATGGCAGAGAAGGAAAAGGGGTGACCAAATATTGAGGATGACAAGTCGAAATGTTATTTCCACATGGAGAGGTGGTCTCCACTCTATAAATGAGAAAATATCACATCATACACAAATAGGATTGCCGATGTGAGTATGCCAGCATGTATGTCTTATTCAAGGAAATTGACTCGCGATGTTTAAAGTTTAATAGGACCACCCTCATTTCAAAAGGCACCTCAATTCAATTCTCCATCCCATGCTTTACCCTGTCGGTTCACCCCTTCCCCTTTGAAGGAGGATTTTTTTTATTTATCAACAAAAGAAGTGTATTTTATTAAAGAGATATAAAGGATATTTCAATTTATTACGTTCTCGTTTGCACAATCTCAATTCAACAACCCTTTATATGAAAGAGGATTTTGACTCTTCAAAATACTCTTAATTAGGACTCCTATATTTGCGCTCTTCATGTTTCTTTTTTATTTTTTCATGTGGAATTCTCAACTTTACAATTCTTCTTTGATTCTTATTTTAGAACACGAGTTAAATGGAATTATCTTGAACATTCATATATAATTTCATGTTACCAGAAGAGAATGATACATAATAAGAAACTTGACTACTTCACAATAATCCTGTTAATTACAACCAGATTACACAGAGTACCGGCACACTCCTATGACATCTTAAATTTGTATTCTAACTTTTAGGCCCTCAAAACAAAAGGAAGAAAAGAAAAAGAAAAAATGCAACAAAAGATTTAAAGTACCCATTTTAGACATGAATTCATGTCAGATACTTAATTTCAAATCCATGTAATTTTACAGAGATCAGTTCTATTAGAGAGAAATCTAACAATTAAAAGAGTACACAATAAATTCTTTTTATTCTATTTATTTTGGTAAATATGAAAAAGAAAATGATTAAGAGACAACCTTTTTATACAACTTCACATATCATTTAATAATTATATAAAGAAATTATCAGCATATCATTACCCATCTTGAAACTACTAATACCCTAAAAGCGACTAGCAGCTTTCAAATTTTGCCAAGAAACAAGATTACGTTGGTTAATTTTTTGGCAGTTGACCGTTATTGGTTATTGTAAGGGAAACTACTAATCCCAACGAAGGACGTTCTCTTAACGAACCTGCCTTTCATTCTAGGCCTCTTCTCTGCATTCAGCTTTCTAACTTCATACCTTATCTTCTTCGAGAACAACCTTGTTCTCCTCTTCTCTCTGTACCTTGAAACTCTTGCTTCTCTTTCTCCATCACCCCCTCTTAGTTGACCATAAGCTCCTCCCGTACTTCCAGCCAGGTGATGACCATCATTGGGGTACATAACCTGTAGGAATATGGCAAACAATTAATGCAGGCTTAATTAGACATATAAATCAAAATCTCAACAATCCATCATGGTAATATAGTAACATAAGGTTTATATATATGCACAACAAAATAGTAACATAACGTTCTTTGAAAAGTTTCATAGTTGAGTTCTTCACTTCTAGTACACAAAAAAGAGGATAATTAATTAATGAACAGTGATTGGTATACACTTTAGTTTAATATACTACATAATAGACTTATTATAAATAATCATTATTTTTTAGTCTAAAATTAAAAGTAGACAAATTTAAAGATACAATCATATACACTAGATGTAGAAACTGGTTGAATTGACTGTATTTATATTATATTTTTAATGTTTATACCAAAAGTGTATATGAAAATATGATGAATTAAGTGTGTACATATCATTTTCCTTAATTAATGGATTCTCAATTCATCAAATTGAAATATAGTTATGAAAAGTTTCAATTTGAATTCCTCACTTTATACTTATATCATAGCAAAAATGAAAATTGGTATCATCAGGGACAGTTTCCAACCTTTGTTCTTGGCGCTGATAGGTGTAGTATGCATACCTTGTAATCAGGCCAACCATCATTAGGGTTGAAGTTTGGTCTGCTTCCTGTTGTCCATGGAGAGCCTTGGCTAGCCCAAGCACTGATGACTGCCTCATAATTTAGCCTCAGGAAAATGTTCCTACTCTCACCACTACTTCTCTCAGTCAATGGCACGGCCTTCTCTTCCTCCTCCCCTGTCATAGGTGATTCACTATCAAGATTCATTTTCCCCACAGAATCCAAAAAGCAAGCAGCTGATATTACTTCCAGTCCTTCTTCCTTAACCTTCACTGTCTTCTCACCATACCCGACATTAGAATTTATAGTTTCTTCTTTACAGTCCAACAGTAACCCTTTCATTTTGATGTCACAATTATCTTCATCATCTCCACCCAACAAGTTCTCAACATCGGCAACAAACTCTGCAAGATCAACGTCTGATGGCAAAAACCCATTCAAACCATCCAACTCGTACATATCTTCGTCTCCATAGCCATCCATCATTACCATATTTTCATCTTCATTTTCCATGGCTGAAAAAGGGTCTAAATCAGGAACCCTGCATAGAAGCTGCTCCTCATTCTCCTCCACTGATCCTTCGTCGTTACCAATCTCCGGAACTAGAGGATCCATGGGATTCAAATTCAAAACTTTCCCCTCTTCCTTGTGTTGCACGGTGGAAGACTTGTTGTGCCTTGGTGTTCTAGCCTTTCTTGTGAAACCTTGGTGCCATGCTGGTGCTGGGACAGCCGCATCATCGGAGTTCAGAACTACTGCATTGGGTTTAGCCAATGCTGTTTCAAGCCTGACCCTTTGGTGCCTACTAGCCAGCTGATTGGCAGAGTGAACGGATGCATCACAGCCTTGGCAAAGAAAAGCATCATCCGCCACACAATACCATCTTGCACGTTTTTTCAGGCAGCCATCGCAGGGTCTGGCCGTCATGCCTCCCATAGCATTTGCCATTTTCCTTTCTGCAGCCATGGATGGAAAGCTACAGTATTGATGAAGTTGCAGAAGGAACAATATGGCCTTTACAAGGAATATTGGGAAGGCCTTAGTATTTTTATTCAGATTTTCAAAGGCACAAAAATAGCTCAACAGTGGGACCCACCATTTATGAGATGTTACCCATGCAAATGTGCACTTTTTAGGACCCACAAGGGCGCTGCTATCTCACTGTTAATTGGCTGAGGCTTTTAAGTCCATCTTAATCTCTGAATTCTAATTGGCTAACTGCCCAATGAAGGGATTCCTTGTGGGTCCTACAGGAAGGGTCTGAGTGGGCAAAGTAAGTGGTTTCCTCACTACTGTCTAAAATCTTGAGCAAGACCTTTCTGTTTGAAGCTTGAAGAGACTCTTAGTTTATGGTCCCCGTGAAGAGGTTGCTTTCATTTCACTTGTGGTTGCCATCATCTTCTCATTCACAAACACACAGCTGATTAAAGCATTCTCCGCCATTAGATGCACTACAAATGCAAGACTTCAAGTAAATTTGAGCCATGAATTATGTATAGATGAATATGAACACAATGTGATTCCAATTGGGTATTAACAGCACAATATGCAAGACTTTTCAAATATATTACACTGACTATAATGAATATTAACATAAACTAATAACAAATCAAAACTGTACCTACATTTGTTGTCTGTTTAAGTTTTGTTTTGGCAGGCTTACAAAAGGAGTTTTATTGGAGGATTTTTGTTGAGACTTTGTATTTGTATTTATGGGTAGAATACTTCTTGTACTCTAAAATAAATAAATTTTTATTCATAAACAAATAAAAAAAAAAAAAAACAAACCAAAAGCACCTCAGGACCTCCTTTAGTTGAAAGAATGATTAGAACATATATAGTTAAACTACAAAAATAAAATATATTACAATTAAGGACAAAGAAACATGATTAAAGGCTCCTTGCTTTCAACAATTTTCCTGTTGTAAGTGTGAGTCAAGAGTCGACAACTATAACTTAGAATTGTTATAGGTTATTTTCCCATTGTTTCATTTTGTTAGAAGAAAATATGCAAGGAATAGTCGTGTCTAATAAATCGTGCTCTCTCGACTTACCTGATTAATTCTAATGGTTTGATAGAGGAATACAGCTAGCTACTATATCCAAACAAACATAACCCTTACTGTATGGTTTATGCATCCAATAAGATGTACTATATACAAAGATGACTAAATGCTTGTTTGCTTTGAAGGGAGGGGAGGGGAGACTATTCTAAGTAATCAAATTAAGTCATTGAGAGACTATCTTAATTTGATTATACAAAAGTCTTTCTTCTCCTTATTTTCTCTCAAACCATACAAGCTCTAATTCTTTTGTATTAATCAACTAAATTATCTACAAATGTTGTAAGTTTCTAACCCGCTTTGTTCTTTGAACAAACTTGTTTATGCTTGCTCAAATTCTGACGCAACTCTGTTCACAGCTCAAAATATGTATATAATTTGTTTGATTTATAAATGCTAACCTAAAAACAAAACAACATATTTTTTGTTAATATAAATATGTTTTGTCCATTGCAAAAGAGCATGAACCATCTATGCCAGTTATGCTGTTTGGCGACAGAGGCCTCATCATCCTGTTATTTCATAAACTATAATTGGTATCCCACCTTCATACGAGAAACAGGTAAAAGTCGCTGCGGTAATAATCAAAAACAAGGCAGGGGAAATCTTATTACAATCTATAGACATTCTTTGAGGAATCATAGTGCCAATTGTATATTTGTCATTGTCAGTTTGATGAAGATGTTGTAATATCTACCAAGAGATAATGTTAATGTCTATTCATCTTTTAACACCTGTTGCGTTTTCGATGGACCAGGTACAATTCCGGATTCTTTTCTCATTGATCAAGTCAGTGCTGATATTTGGAGGGTGAAACCAATAGATTATTATCTCTGTCTTAGTGAAAATGAAAGAGTTGGATATCACATCCTGTGAACCTAAAATAACTCCTCTCCTTAACCAAAATTTTCGATTGCAAGTTCTTCGAAAGGTCTAATTTCCAAACTCATCTAATCATGCTACATTTGTGAAAGGAAATTGCTAAAATTTCATACTTGTTAGTATAATGAGACTACCCAATGTGCTTGGATAATTGTCTAGTTTCACAATATTTTACTAAATCTTCGATGAAACTTTTAGAAAGGAAAAAAAAAATCACAAGACAGAGAGAATGGCTAGCTCCAGGGGCAGTATAGTGAAAGACAAAGCTGTAACAAGCAATCTTCCATCGCTGGAAACGTTCAAGTTTTGTCTGTTTATAGGAGAAGTGGTCCTAGGAAGAAGGTGAATAATTAGATGGAGATTTTACGATGGATACATGATCAGATGAAGATTGAGATATATGATGTATATAATAATTTTGATTCCCTGCATCAAAATTACATTATTGATCATTTTAATTACCAGAAATTAAGATAAAGAAAGAGAAACCATACAATGACATTAGTTGTTTGTGTAATAGGCCTGCTGTGTTGTTTTTATTTTTTTTATTTTTTAAATATAACAATTTGGAACTTTAATTCGACTAGTGTTATGAGTACTCGCAAACTACCTCGATAATGGATGCAAGATGAATTTTCAACCAAGGGTGGCAGCCATTTTTTGCACCCAAAATACCCTGCAATAGGCCTGCACAACTGAAAACCCTGTTCCGCAGATAACAATTTACCTCTTCTTACTACTACCAAATGAATGCACTGCAAATTCGACTCTGATGTGCCAAGTAGATTATGGTAAAAGTTTAAGATGTCGTCCCTAATTTTGAATGAAAAAAGAAGAATTCAAATGACCATGTTATAGGCAATTCACTTTTGCACTCTGCGGTAATAAAACTTATTCAGAAGCAAGAACCTAGCTGTATTAATTCTGAATCCTTTTCTCCTATGGATGAAAAGAAATATCCAATGGAAGATTAAACATTTCTTTTCTATACAATTGCTTCAACTGAAGCTTAGTGCAAGCAATCCTAACTTCTGCCCTTGTGTTTTTAGAGAAAGAGGTAAATAAGGATATCAATTTTAATTTTTTTTTATTTAAAGATATTAACTTTCAATTTTTTTTATTTAAAAATATTAATTTTTAATTTTTTTATTTAAAGATATTAACTTTTAATTTTTTTATTTAAAGATTAATTGAATGATAATACTAATATGACAAACAAATTTTTTAATTGAAATGTTGAAAGTTAATATTCTTAAATAGAAAAAATTAAAAATTAACATCATTAAATTAAAAAAGTTAAAAATTAATATTTTTATTTAAAAATTAACAAAGTTAACATTCTCAAATAAAAAAAAAAAAGCAAAATTCATATCCTTATTTGCATATTTCTCAAGTTATTAACTCCAGCTTTTGAGCCAGTACATTCATTACACGTGGTACGTGAAATGTCATAAACATCACTTAACCCAAAAGAAAGGAAAATAAGTTCAGGAACATTTTAATCATTTCAGTTCATGTAAACATTAGGAAGCAAGACATATACTATGAGCAGTGCACATTTAGAAACTCCATGGGGGCATGGTCATGGAGAAATTCGTATATAATTTCTTTCTTTTATTTCTTAGTATATTTGGGAGTTAGACATTTAATATTGTAAGATTTTAAACTCTGACTTTTACCCAAATTAAGGGTTTTTAATTTTTAAGTACCAATTTGCTCAAGTTGTACTAAAATTTCTTTCTTCAACAATAAAATGATTAAAAAAAGAAAAAAAAAATTATTCGTAAACATTTTGTTCAAAACACTTTTAGACACTCATCTTAATTTAATTATTAAAATATAATATAAATATAACTAATTCAATTAATTTTTGCACCTATATACATAGTTTTATCTTTAAATTTGTATGCTTTTAATTTCATATTAAAAAATAATAATTTTTTAATGAATTTATTATGCAATGTATTAAATCAAAATATATACAGTTATTGTCATTTCAAATTATTCATAAATGAGGCAAAAATTATTAAACTTTATTTACAGTTAAAAAATGAAAAATTCTATTTTTGTAGACAAATCCATTAACTTTTTACCCAACAGAGATCGGAGCCAATATATTGCTTCACACTTTATAATTTGAGTTCACACTTCATAGTTTGAATATAGAAAATTTTGAAGGTTTCTCCTTTTATAATTCTTCATCAAATAATTTAAATCCAAATATTTCTTCAATACTATCACTAAAATGAAGATTTTTAACATGCTCTAATATTATGAAAAGAAAACTAACCTAAGCTACTTGACAATAAATAAAAAGAACCTATCATAATTATAAGGCTACAAAAAGATTGAAATGATATCTCACGGATGTGGGATTTTTCTCCCCTAACAACAGTCTAGAAAACTTTCTACCTATACATTTGTTTTTCTTATCAAGGATTAATTGCTACTCTATCCAACCAAACAGAACCCCAAGAGTATATAAAGGTGTTTTATGCATTCAATAAGATGTACCTTATAAAAAGAGATGCCTAAGTCTTTTAGTCATTGGACAAAAGAAAAAGTCTTTTGTAGTTAATTAATCGACTTAATTATCTACAAATTTTGTATATATGATCAGTTTTATATCTTTCCAATAAAACTTGTTTTGCTTGCTCAAATATCACACTTCGTTCAGAACTCACAATATGAAATATAAATTTTGATCTATAAATGTTGAACTAAAAATCAGAACAACAGAATTTGTAAAATAAATATGTTTTGTCCATTGCAAAGACCATGGACAATCTATGCCAGTTATGCTGTTTGGTGGCTGCGGCCTCATTCCTCTTACTTTCATAAACTAGATGGTATACTATTTTCATACAAGAAATAGCTAAAAGTTGCTGGGAATTCTTATTACCATCTATAGACATTCTCTGAGGAATCATAGTAACAATTGTAGTCATTGTCAATTTAATGAAAATGTTGTAATATCTATAAATAGTTAATGTTAGGATCTGTTTAGTTAGAAATAACTAATAAGTTAATTAATAATAATTGATAGAATAGCTGATATCTATTATTTAAAAGT